TGACTGCGAACGGGCCAGTGAGGATGAAGAGGACAACTTCGATGATGACGACGACGAATTCTTGCCCATAGAAGATGGCGAAGAGGTATCCAGTCCATCTGAGGGTAGTCGCCCGGATGGCCCACATACGGCTCTCGAAAATGAGTCAGCTCCTGCAGAACCACAAAAAGGCGTGAAACCCCGTTCCTCCATGCCCAAATGGCTCAAAGATGACTACGCTACCACTTGCACGCGGCTTCGTGACGAAATCACAAAGCGAGGACGGCCATCATGCTACGAGGCTGGCCAGTTCCTGTTGACACCGCCATCACCCATATTCAGTTGAACAGTGCCCATGCAGATCGAACCTCTCGACTACTATTGCCCCACCTACTTTGTGTGGCTTCCTCATTTGTTCCACCGAATCCCATGCCTGAGTTGCAATGTTGCAGGCCGTTGTGACAAGCATGGAGGAACCATCCTACTTCGGATCCTCGACTGGCCGAAGCTCCCACGGCAGATCATAGATGTTGAGCATAACATCTTCCTCATTGGCCACAGGTACTATTGTGGGCGCCAGGAGTGTAAGAAGAGCTACCAAAGCTGGTCGCCAGCAATCTTAGATGTCATCCCGCCACCGCTTGCACAGTGTTTCAAATTTCATTTGACCCACTGATGTGGGCTCACTAGCAGGTTAGCAGGACAGCTGCGCTTATCGCTCCTACGTGGCATTGGCCCGGCGCCCTTCGCCGAGCAGCTCCGCACCATGCACCTCCGCTATCATGAACTTCTACACATAGAGTACCTTGAGGCCGTACGAGTACGTGCAGCATCAACCGTCTCTGGCCTCCTGCCACCGCATCAGCCATTTGGCAAGTGGAACAATATGAATGGGTATGCGGGGTATATTCCAACACACAAGTACTTCCGCAACTTCTATGACGCTCTCATTGAGACATACGCTGCTGAGACCGATCAACATATGTTTATGCAGTCGGCTGAGAAGCTCAGTGCAGACCACAGCTTCAAGGTGACGATTTTGACATCCTGTGTTATGCGCATGCAAGTCTGACATGGGGCCAGCAGGTTGGCAAACATCTTGGGAAGATCAGTGGTGTCCCTGTCTTCGGAGCACTGCACACAGCTGTAAATGAGTACGGCGAGATACGAGCAATGACATTGACCCCAACGAAGGCCCACGATGATTGTATGCCTGCTCTTGTGAAGATTCCAGATAGTCTCGCAAAGTACGGACACAACGAGCTCGAAGTGGTCTTCACCGACAGCATGCGAGGGGACAAGGAAGCTCTTCACCGTGTGTTTCCGTCACTGCTGAAGAATGTCACACCAGTACCGAGCTCTTCTCTGGAGCCATTGTCCTTGCCTGCCAACTGGGAAATATATTCCTTGAGCAGCACTTATCAGGTCAACACTCGTGTCAACACCATCATGGCGGACCTCCAAGATATCGGGCCCGATGAAGAGCTCCATCTTCCTATGGACATGGAGTGGCCTGTCGACAGGGCAATGGGCATCTATGGGGGAGTGGCTCTTGTTTCGATTGCCTATAAGAAATCAGTCTATCTCATTCCTGTGAGCTCTCCAACTGTGATCAACTGAAATGAACTAACAAACCGACTGGCCTAGCTTGTCAAGTATGCCCAAGACAATGGGTCTCTAAAGCTTCCTTCGCCCTTGCTTGCCTGTCTGCGATTACCCCGCATCCGTAAAGTTGGTGTTCACGTGAAGGCAGATCTCACACGCCTTTACCACGACTGTGGGTACTCCAGCCCCTCTGATGAGCCTTTCATCGGTGGCCTCGAGCTTGGCGCCATGGCAAATGATTGTAATGTGGTCGAACACAGCAATGTAGGCCTCGTTGACCTCACAGCATGTGTCTTGCGATGATATCTGCCCAAGGACTCATCCATCCGCATTAGTTCCGAATGGGACAATCCCACCCTGACCGGCGAGCAGCAGACATATGCAGCCTTGGACGTCTACGCTGGCTGGGCCATCCTCAATGCATTTTTGGTGATTCCTGTTGGTGCCCCGGTGACTGAGTCGACTCCAGGAGGGACGGCAGTGAGGCTACTCTCATGCAATGGGAAGTCTACTGTGGCATATGGGTTTGTGTCCCATAACCGACCAAAACAATATAACGGTGTAAATCTAACCAAGACTCGGATTTTGGTCAACATAACTTCGGTTGTCGTACCAGCTTACCTCATCCGTGGAGAACTGGTGAAGTCTCGAAAGGACACTTCATTGTCTGAGCTTGCCTCATCATTACCAGTTTCCATTCTCTGCCACCTGAAGGATCTCCAGACCTGTGTTGGCCAAGATGTTACCCCCTCGCACCCTCACCATCCCGTTGCACAACCACCACCGCCATTCGAAAGCACGTATGACCCTTACAGCACGGAACCTCATGAGGAAAATGAAGATGGTGCCCCACTACTGGATGAGGCCATCGGGGACAACTGCCTTTCTTGGCACAACACACTCAACTATGATCCTGATATCGAACAATCCCTTTGCAATGCTGTCCAAGATCCAGATGCATCTCAGAAAGCAGACCTTCTGGCAACTGCTGCACTTCAAGTTCCGCAACAACTGGCTTGTGTTCCTGCTGCTGACCAGTCCGAAGTCCATTCACGTGTCCTTGGCAACATCTGGCATCTGATGGACCAGTTCAAGATATCTCTTCATCACGGCTTACGCAGACCATTTGCTTGTGCTCTTCGTGATGCTATATTCATCCCTGACAGTGAAGATAAGGCAGCAGTCTTGCGAGTGCTTGAAGCACGCTGTACCACCTTTCAGCAAATGGTTCTCCATGACTTGGGATGGGTCTGGCAACGTGTTAAGAGGCTCGTTCCGCCTCCTGAGATTCTAACTCCCCAAGTCCTTCAAGTTCTGCATGAATTCGGACCACTCAAGGATGCCGTCACAGGTCAGCCACTGTTCAGTGATGCGTCGTGGAACAAGGCCAAGAATATCATCGAGAATATCAGATTGGGGTATTATTCCGATCCACCTGGAGTCAAGCTCTATACAGTACAGCAAAAAGATGCAGACAAGTTGACGATTTACCGATGCCTTCGAGGTACCAACAATGTCGAAGGAGGTGTACATCAAAATATCATTCGACGCTTTGGGCCATTCAATGCATCACCAAGGTTGGCAGTGAATTTGCTGCGTGACTACTCCCTCTCGCACAACTTGAAGGTACGCAAAATTTGTGTCCCTCCTTGCCGCCGTAAAACGCAATCTGAAAACCCCATGAGGTTGGCACATACAACCGGTCGGGGTCCATTTACCTCGGTTCATATGATATCTGGACTCGCAACAGAATCACCTGACTCATCAACCTCACCGAAAGTGCCTTCAGCCCAAGCTATAAGAGCCGTGATCTCGCAGAGTGGGTCAACAGAAATGACTATGAATCTGCAACCAAGTCATTTGGGATCTTACCACTGTCTACCATTGTTCGCAACAAGCTGGGAATGCAGGAGTACGACCCGATCCATGCAAAGACCCTCTGTCACGAATACCTTGCCTGCCAACAAGGCACTTGAAGTGCAGTGTTACCCGTTCACACTACCGAAGAGAAGGCGCTGTTTCACCTTCTGATGCAAAGTAATACAGGTCCTTTTTCTGGGACAAAGCCCCCGAATTTTGTCACCCTTGCACAAGAATGGCAAGGACATTGCCACGGTGATGGTAAACATCTATTCTATAAGGTCAGTATGCATTCAAGGTGGCTGAGCAAATACTGATGCCCCGGCACAGCTGCCCAAACATCTGAAGTCGTACTACAAGGTCTGGAATGAGAACCGCAATGAACACAACTCGATTGAACAAAATAAGGCCGCTTACGATGTGATTCGGAAGCTCGTTACCGCGCCGATTACTATCCCCCCGATTCCAGCTGGCCAGCGTGAAACAGTCAAGGACCAGATTGGTGGAGCCTGCCACCTTCCGGTGATACCTGAGCCTTCAAGCTGGGACATTGGAGTCCTGCTTTGCCACAATAGCTCTCGTCAGAGCCTCCTTCAGTTTCAATTACTCACCTCACCACCGTCGAACAACAACACACCTAAAAAACAAGGGACAAAGCGCCACGCAACACAGCCACTTCATTCGAGTGAACAAACTGTTCAAGCTCCAACCGCGAAGAAACGCAAGCATACCTGCCCAAAATGCCATCAAGCTGACTGTCTGGGAGCACATTTGAGTCGACCCTGTGTGTACAAACCGGTGAGTAACAATCATAGACGTTTTGACTGAGTGCTCACCAAATATTGGTGCCAGTCTGCTGCGTCCCAGACAACGCTCAACGGACACATGGTGCACTCAGGTCGTGGTGATGCAAGCACGAGCGTACCTTTGTTGAACGCTGCAAGCTCCGATACCTCCACGAGAACGCTCGAACATGGCGCCCAGCAAAATCCGAACCCGAGTGTGCCATCCATGTATCCGTGTTATCAACGGTGCAACCAAGGCAGCACGAGCGCGAGCATGATGAGGTGATGTTGCGAGGCTGCGGAATTGGTGAGCATAGTAGAGCGTGGGATTTTGTGAATGATTGGGGCGGCGGATAGGTTAAGTTGGTAGTTGTGTGAAGACAATGTGAATGGCACGGCGGCCCTATTAGTAACTTGATGGAATATCAAGGTTTCGCAAATCGATTTTGGTGGGAAGTTAGGCACGGAATTCATTTATGAGAGCAGCCTTCTGCTACATATCTCCCAACCGAGCTACGACATTGAGGAGCACATCCTCCTCCCCTCTCCTCCTCCCTCACAATTAATTAATTAATTTCTTTTATTATTTCTTTTCCCCACTACACCTATAGCTCAAGTGCCTTCCCAGAGGGTGTTGCTATAGTATATTATATAGGATTCACACTAAGTCAATTGCTATATAATATATTGCTTTTTTTTTTTTTTTTTTTTTAAAAAAAAAGGCCTCTCAGGCATAGCCACACCAAAAATCCCAGCAAAAAATATCTAGGCAGGTGCTACCAGGGTTCGAACCTGGGTTTCGGGAAATTTATCGCTTACATAATACACTTCGAAATTTATGGCGACTTCAAAATCCCGAGTGATAACCACTACACTATAGCACCACGGTCATGTGCCGTTGGAAGGTCATTAAGATGTTGCAGTGTTGACCCCGATCGTTGAGGATTTATCGATTAGGAAATCCGTTGCCGAAGTTTGCAACACCTCCGAAAATAGCGTTGCGTCGTGAGCCTGAGTGTGCGCAGCCAACCGCGACGACTCATCTCATCCATCTTTCGTCAAAAAGCACAGGCCATACAACAATTCATCAATAACGGACTCACGACTCTACCACGACGATGGCAGTCGAAGACGACTTTGCTGCGCTCGTCTCCCGCTCAAACCCTGCCGCTACTTCCCAATATCACAACAACAATCCATACTCACAGCAACAACACAACGGCTACCCGCCCTCGTCCTCCATCCAACCACCCTCGCAACCAAACCTCATGGACCCCTTCTTCGACGACGAGGACGACTTTGGCGCTCCCGATTCCGCATTCGGCCCACACGGGGGGAACGTACTCCCCATGCACTCCCAGGAGAGCGGGCTTCCCCTCGCACGCAACGCAGCGGCCCTCGGGCCGTCCTCAGTCTCGCTCGCAACCGGCCAGCCCCAAGGCTGGACTTTTGACGACGAGGGGCTCCAGCCTGGCGCGGGCTTTGCTGGGAGCGCGAGCTTCCCTGGGCCGGGCACCAGCGCGGGGAGGAAGGAGGCGAAGGTGAAGGGTGGTAGGAGGAAGCGACGGTGGCGCTTTCCGTGGGAGAAGGAAAAGGTGCTGCAGGGGGAGCGGGTGATCGCGCTCAACAGCCCCGCTGCGAACGACGAGTATTGCAATAATTTCGTCTCGACGAGCAAGTTTAACATGGTCACGTTCGTGCCCAAGTTCCTCACCGGTGCGTTGGCTCTTTCGCTTTGTTTTGCGTGTGCTGACGCACGACGTGAAGAGCAATTCTCGAAATACGCAAATTTGTTCTTCCTGTTCACGGCATGTATACAGCAGATACCGGGCGTGTCGCCTACGAACCAATACACCACTATCGGGCCGCTCGCCGCCGTCCTCCTCGCATCTGCGTTTAAAGAAGTCCAGGAAGACCTCGTGCGTGCTCTCCCTCTCCCTCCCCGTCACGCACACAAACTCACCGGCTCCTAGAAACGCCACCAGTCCGACGCCGAGCTCAACGCGCGCCTCGGTAAAGCCCTCTCCTCCACCTCTACCTTCGAGTCGCGCAAGTGGAAAGACCTCCGCGTGGGCGACGTCGTCCGCGTCGAGTCGGACGAGTTCATCCCCGCAGACCTCGTCCTCCTCTCCTCCAGCGAGCCCGAGGGCCTTTGCTACATCGAGACTTCTAACCTCGATGGGTACGTCTGTGGCGTATTTCTGCCTTAACTAGGTCTGTTGTGCTGATACTGACGCTGCTTTTTGCATTCTCTCCTCGCTACGTTTCACGGTACGTCGACCGCTCTTACACCAACCTTCACTCCCCACCCCCAGCGAAACCAACCTCAAAATCAAACAAGCCTCCCCCCAAACCGCCGCACTCACTGCCCCCCATCTCGTCGCCGCGCTCTCCGGGTCCCTCCGCTCGGAGCAGCCGAACAACAGCCTCTACACGTACGAGGGCACGCTCGAGCTCCTCTCCCCCTCCAACGGCCAGGCACGTACGATCCCGCTTGGACCAGACCAACTGCTCCTGCGTGGGGCGCAGCTGCGGAACACACCGTGGGTATATGGGGTGGTGGTATTCACGGGGCACGAGACGAAGTTAATGCGAAATGCGACGTGAGTGTTGGTATTTTTTTGCTTTTTGGATTTGTTCTTGTCATCTCTCGTGGGGCTCGGATCCGTCCACAGTGGTCTGGGTTTTTTGGTGCGGTGACGAGGCTTTGGTCTGCGTCGAGGGGCTTTGGGCCATACTGACTTGCGGAACATATGCGCAGGGCTACACCGATCAAGCGGACGGCGGTGGAGCGGCAGGTGAATGTCCACATCATATTCCTCTTCTGCTTCCTCCTCGCGCTGTCCATTGGGTCCACCATCGGCGCAAGTATCAACACTGTGAGTGCCTTCGTGGTTTTTTGGCGGGGCGTGGCTGTATACTGATTGATGGCTTCGTCGTTGATGGCACCGCTCAGTGGTTTTTGTCAGGCCAGCAGTGGTACTTGGTGGAGACGTCGACGTTTACGGGGCGGGGTACGTCGTTAATTTGGGTGCCGGGACCGGTATGCTCAAGTTTTGGTTACAGCGAAAGCATTTATAGAAGGCTAGTGTACACATACGCTACCCCACGCGCTTACTGACCACTAACCCCCTCCCCTTCCCACCCCCCTCACACCCCCCTCACCCCCCTCACAGACATCCTCACCTTCATCATTCTCTACAACAACCTAATCCCCATTTCCCTCATCGTCACCATGGAAGTCGTCAAGTTCCAGCAAGCGCAACTCATCAACTCCGACCTTGACATGTACTTCTCCCCCACGGATACGCCAGCGCTCTGCCGCACGTCGTCGCTCGTTGAGGAGCTCGGCCAAATCGAGTACATCTTCAGCGACAAGACGGGGACGCTCACAAGGAACGAAATGGAGTTCCGGTGCTGCTCGGTCGGAGGGCGCGCGTATGCAGATGTCGTGGAGGAGGGGCGGAGGGGGGAGGGCGACTCGGGGGAGGGGAAAGATGGGTGGAGGACGTTTGAGGAGCTTAGGACGCTTGTTGGGGGCGAGAAGGCGGGAAATCCGTTCGAGGACACGAAGAGTGCGGGTGGCGGCGGTGGCGACAGGGACAGGGAAAGGGACGTCGCGCGCGAGTTCTTGGCACTCCTTGCCGTGTGCCACACCGTCATTCCCGAGGTGAAGGACGGGAAGACTGTGTATCAGGCAAGCAGTCCGGACGAGGCGGCACTCGTCGCCGGGGCGGAGTTGCTCGGGTATCAGTTCCACGTGCGTGTGCTCCTCTGTCCTGTATTTTCCCCCGTGTACCGACGTTGCTCACCTCTGCTGCGCATTGTACCTTGCGTCCCCTTCACTGCAGACCCGCAAGCCAAAGTCCGTCTTCGTAAACGTACAGGGGTCGTCCCAGGAGTACCAAATCCTCAACGTCTGCGAGTTCAACTCGACGCGCAAGCGCATGTCGACGGTTATCCGCGCGCCGGACGGGGGGATCAAGCTATATTGCAAGGGCGCGGACACCGTCATCCTCGAGCGCCTGGGCAAGAATCAGCTGTACACCGAGAAGACGCTCGCGCATCTTGAGGTGTGCCCCACGTCCATTCCCACTGTCCGACGGACACTAAATCCTTGAATTTATGACGCAGGACTACGCGACCGAAGGCCTCCGCACGCTCTGCCTGGCTTATCGCGACATTCCTGACGCGGAGTACCGCCAGTGGCAGACGATATACGAGCAGGCCGCAGCGACGATCAATGGGCGCGGCGACGCGCTCGACCAGGCGGCGGAGCTGATCGAGAAGGATATGTTCTTGCTGGGCGCGACGGCCATCGAGGATAAGCTCCAGGAGGGCGTGCCCGATGCGATACATACGCTGCAAATGGCGGGAATCAAGGTCGGTCTTGCTCCGTTTCATTTCATTTTTCGCTTTTCTGGGCTGTGGTTGTGTCCTGTGCTGACTGAGGGGATAGATCTGGGTCTTGACGGGAGACAGGCAAGAGACGGCGATCAACATCGGGATGTCGTGTCGGCTGATAGCGGAGAGTATGAACCTGGTGAGGCACTACCTTTTCCCCTTCATGAGTGCGGGCGTGAGAGCTGATATGTGCGAATGGTGTAGGTTATCATCAATGAGGAAAACGCACGCGATACGGAGGAGTTCATACTCAAGCGGGTCTCGGCGATCAAAAACCAGCGGAGTACGGGGGAGCTGGAGGACCTGGCGCTCGTCATCGGTGCGTGCGGGGCTGCTTTGTTTGTGGTGGTGATGGTCTCACTGATGATATGCGTTTGGGCCGGAAGATGGGAAGAGTCTTACATTTGCGCTCGAGAAAGAGCTGTCGAAGTCGTTCCTGGAGCTCGCGCTCATGTGCAAGGCCGTGATCTGCTGTAAGCACTCACTTCCGCCCCCAGCCTTTCCACTTTAAGCTGCTGACTGGGACGTGTGATGTGACCAATTGTCCAGGTCGTGTCTCGCCGCTGCAGAAGGCGCTTGTCGTCAAGCTCGTGAAGAAGAACCAAAAGGCGATCTTGCTTGCAATTGGGGACGGCGCCAATGACGTGAGCATGATCCAGGCCGCGCACGTCGGCGTGGGGATATCGGGGGTCGAGGTTCGTTGATCGTTCACATTTTTGCTGGTAGGCGGGAAGGGGCTGATTGTGGATGCGGTGTGTTAGGGTCTTCAAGCTGCGAGGTCCGCGGATGTAGCGATATCGCAGTTTAGGTACCTCAAGAAGCTTTTGCTGGTTCATGGCGCTTGGAGTTATCAGCGGCTGTCTAAGCTCATTCTTTGTACGTTCCCCATTACCCTGGAGCGTTTCCTTTTCCGATGCTTACGTTCTCCACAGATTCGTTCTACAAGAACATCACGCTTTACATGACGCAATTCTGGGTACGTCGTGCTGTGCGTTTTGCTTGTTCCCTCTCATGCTGATCTGCGAGGGCGTAGTATTCTTTCTTCAACAACTTCTCTGGACAAATCGCCTACGAATCATGGACAATATCACTCTACAACATTCTCTTCACTGTACTCCCTCCTTTTGTCATCGGAATCTTTGATCAGTTTGTTTCTGCTCGTATACTAGACCGCTATCCACAGCTGTATGCGTTGGGCCAGAAGAATGTCTTCTTCACAAAGACAGCGTTCTGGCTGTGGGTGGGGAATGCATTGTATCACAGTCTGGTGAGTCTGGGCAGTGTGGTGGTGGTAGGGATGTCGTGCTGACACCGCTTTTTTTGTGCCGTAGGTTCTGTTTGGATTTTCTGTTATTTTGTTCTGGGGCGACCATAAGCAGTCTTCTGGGCTGGACTCGGGACATTGGTTCTGGGGTACGGCTCTCTATCTAACGGTGCTACTCACTGTGCTCGGCAAGGCCGCGCTGATCTCAGAGTACGT